CCCAAAACGTTGGGAATATGTTGCTAAAAACAATTATAAACGCATAATAAATACGAAAACAATATAAAATTTCTTTAATTTCATAATTCCTCCATTTTTTATGAACAAAACCTATTGCTCCAATAGAGTGGATATCCGGGTTAGACGGACTAATGCTCTCGGTTTACTTTGTGAAGAACTTTTAGTAAGCCATGCGCTGCTGGACCGTGCCTTTTTCTCTTACAAATGTTAGAAAAATTCAACAAAATTTAAAAGGTTTTCTGAGTCTCTACAGTTAAGTCCGCATTTTGGCTGAAATATAACATCATTTAACTTATCCTGGAAGATATAGTCAGATAGATTATGAAGACTGAGCGCCATGCCACCCTAACTTCTGGTATTGACCAACTTTTCAAATTCAGTTTAAATTTCAACCCTTTGCTGTTCTAAATCTTGCAATTAACTGTGATCGTTTGTTTATTTATATCAACAATTGTATAAAAGGAAATTAAATATAAAGTTATAATCTTTTTCATAATATGTCATATTAAAAAACGATGCATATTGTAGTTCATTCGGTATTATGAAAAATATTAGTATCATTTACACAACTGTTATTTTGTCTTCCTAATAGTTTAAATTATGATTCCTTTTTTTTAATCCTAAAGTAATTGACTTTGATAATACTGTTAAAAGTATGATTTACACACTAAATTCATGTTTATATCTTATATTATCAAAACAAATTTTTCACTTTGTCGATATGTATGTACGTGTACCTCATATATTCCGAATCTCTTTAACTAAGACGCATTAGAAGCCATTATAATTAAGGTTTATATAATCTGCTATTCATCTTACTATTAACTTAAATATTCGTGATTAATCTGTTGTATAATACTTGGATATCTGGATAGAATATATTTAATAAGATAATATGGTTTTGCCCTTTCAATTGGTTCATATTATAGGTATATTCTTATTTACAGTAAATCCAAGATGTAACATGTCAATGTTATTAGAGTTTGACCATATGTAACTTTTGTCTTTCTAGACGTTTATTACCCTGAGGATAAAAACGTTAATAATAGTTAATCAAAAAGTACAAAAAATGCTTTTCAAACTGCCCTGTCAAAGTATTGTACAATACTATTGGGTACAATGGTTGAAACAAATTATACAATTTTAAATATTGTAGTACTTGTGATTGTTATATTCTATAAGTCATTTGACCAAAGTTTAATAAAAAACATGAACAGGGTTTTGTTTGACAATCACGCCTACGTATTGCAATTGTTTAGTTTTGATTGGTATTTAGGTATTTCGTTAAACATTGATATTTTCAACCTTATATAATAGTTTTCTGGCATGCTAAGAATATAAATTAATTTTTGAATTTCATACATACACAAAATCCTTCACTGCGTAAAAAAAAGATTGTTAAGTCGAAAGTTATATATAAAATATTTAACTTATTTAATATTCCACTATCGAAAAGAATGCTTAGCAGGAAAACTTATATACGTCTCATGAAATAAACTATAATACGTATTTACAAAAAAGATATACTCTTATCGTTCATTTTTCTAACTAAAACTGAGAAAGCGATAGTTCCTTCACATTTTACCGTAATCCTTACGCTTATAACTTAAATGAACATGTATTGAGACATAAATTTGTCACCTATCTCTATTTCGTCTACCTGTTTTACATGAATTCTTAGTTAGAGTATATAAACTGAAAATAATTTATTAATACTATAAACAGATTTATACGCATAAAAATATCATTTAATAAAGTTGTGTATGGCTGAAATAGATTACCACAATCAACAGTTTCATTCGGCGGAGTGGACCTGTCGCTTTCGAGTGTCGTGGAGAAGATGCTCGAGAGTGATGGGTCCTGGTTGGCGGTGTCCTCCTTCTGTGAGACGGTCATGTCCACGAAGGAGGCATGTCAGCGGGAAAGGGAGAGGGCGGCTGATGCTCCCTCCCCCCGCAGGCGACGTACGGGGGTGCGACAGAGTCAATTCTTACGCCTCCAATAGCACCCCTGTGTTCCGGGCTGGGGTCGGCGTGGTAACCCGGCCCTTTTGAAAGCCCGGCGTCGTCGGGGTGGTCCTAATTGCCGGGATCGCCCCCATTCTCCGAGGGAGTAAGTCCGGTCTTTGCCAGGACCGGCCAGTCGCTGGTGTGCCCTGTCGCTGACAGATCCGGGGTACACCGACATAGCGGCCGATGGCTTTCGCAGTGGTTTTAGTGAGTAGGGGCCTGCCCAGGCCGAGCCTCACACATCCCTTCCGGCCCCACCAAGGCCGGTTGGACGGCTCGTAAAAAGAGTTTCCACTACGTCATCAAAAAAAAAAAAAATCAACAGTTTCATGTCAGTAACCACTGTCATAAATATAAATAAAATATATAATAAATAGATACTATATCAAAACTGTGCAATAAATATTAATTTTATATATATTGTTAACCATTTTAATGTCATTTGACAGTTATTTTGTAACGTACGTATATTGGTAAGGTTTGACATCTTGTTGAATACTAGTTTAAAGTTGATGTAAAAATTATAGTTTTACGCACTTAGTTAAAAGTAAATTTAAACTTCTATGACTTTTTAAATTCGGTTCTATATTGTAAATCGTATCGTAATCGTAATCGTATAGTAAATTTAAACATATTTTTATAAAAAAACTTTTACCGTACAATTGACCTTCTTCAAAACTATTGTAATGTTATAGGGAGAAATATGTTTTAGCTATTCATATAAAAATATAACCGAGCATTCCATAACCCCCGTCCCCTAGTATCTTATCATCCTTTATAGAAGATGGATTGATACACAAAGATTATAGTATTATGACGTCAAAGCTTTTAGCGACAAAAATAGTTATAATGAAACTTGTACATGTTAGCTTAGCTTATATAGAGGTCAGTAAGTCGAGACCCAACACCTAAAATAGATATAATATGTTTACTTATTGTTTCTTTCTACCATGTTTTAAACTATTTATTCTATAACTAAACGTTAGAAATTAAAACAAAAAACAAATTTAGTATTACATTTAACTTATTGTATTTTTTTTTTTATTTGTTAAAAAATATTTAAAAAACAAAGTTAAAAATTTCTTTAAATAACTGTTTTGCAAAGTGAAGTCATATCAATACAGTTATTAATTTTAAGAAACATGGATCTTACACTACCTCTATTGAGATATATTTTTTAATTTCTTCAATTATGAATCACTTTTTTACCTTTTCAATAAAGAACAGAACCATCCGAATTAAAACTTTAGCTTCTTTAAGAGCCTTCCATATATATTTAGTAACTTTAATTGATATTCTTGAGTTTTGCATCTCTAGGCGCTCTTTTTGATCACTTAAATTATTATTAAAGTTGAATATATTATACAAAAGAATATGTTTAATTATATAGCCCTGTGAATATATCATAAAAAAGTAAATTAATTTTGAAATTATCTAACATACTATGCATTCGCCAACCGAAGTGGACTTTCTTAGAAATTTCAGAGGACTCAATGATAGCTAAAAGAACGTTTTTTATATATTTATAGAGATGAAATATAATTTACTTAGGAAGTTTCTATCATGCTGCTAGATAAGCCAGTTTATAATGCGCTTTTTTACAGAGCACGATTACATAGTAGATTTTTTTTATCTCCTTAATTTATAGCCTAAGTAAATTTTATGAAAAGAAGATTTTTGTTATAATCCTGATATCTCACTAGCGTTTATTTAAAAACAACATCTCTTTGAATCCAGGGTATTTTGTATAAAGCAAGTTTTTTGTGACAATTGTTCACCATATTAAAAGAATATAACTTTTTTTTATTGGTTAAAGAATTCAATGATATTTGCTTATCTTATGATTTAAATAGGAAAACTATTGTTATCATATTTTATGCTCAAGAAACTCGATCTTGTTATAAATATAGCTATTGTAAGTAACCTTAAAACATCGTGACAACATCTTCAATATTATGTACCTTTATATAGAAATTATTGTTTAGAGAAGCTTTATGCCATGATAATACAATTTACTTCGTTAAAAAGAACTCATTTGTCATAAGATATCAACTTACTTATTAATGTTGTCTCAATTATGATTTAGAAATAATATCAGTGGATAAAAAATAAAGACCTTTCAGGTTCATATTTATTAAATAATTATTTTTAGAAATGTTTTTTTATAATTTATATATGCGTATACATGATAATAAAAATTGAGTTATATTTAAAACATTACTTATAAAGTGAACGTTAATAATGAGATCAACCATTATTTGTTTAACTATTGAAGCAAAAGAAATTAATAAACAACTGAAGAAAAGCGTTTCGCTCTTTATTATGTTTTATCCATTCCAATAAAAAAATATAACTTAAATCAACAGAAACCTATTTTATTGTTTATTTTATCTTTCACTAATTACTTTGTAATTAATGATGTTATTATATGAAACAATGGTATTTCACCGATATTCGAAGTGGAAAATAACAGAGCGTTAAAGCAATTAGCAAATAACACACGCTCCAATGGTAAACTGGGCAATAGTAATTAACGAACAACGGATGAAATTCCAATGCACCATTTTTTATTTCGGTATTTTTATATACTACATAAGTTTTCTCATAAAATGTGTATTTAAAAGAAATCTACATATTATCATGCATATCGCGATAAAGACATTTTAAATCAGTGTTTAAAAAATAAAACAATTTTATGTGAAAACTCTTAACATAAAATTAATTCAAATAAAAAATATATTAAATAATAAGTATAACAGTCATTGCAGATTTTGTGACATATTAAGAAAAATGAAAATAATAGAATAACAGAGTTTAAAAAACATAGTCTGGAAGAGATCGCTGTTTTATCGATAAGGCCGCCTATTTGTACTTTTTCCTTTATTTGTTTTTCTCTTGTTATTTCTGTCTATATTGGTGTACATTAAAGAGTAAATAAATAAATAAATAGTTTATTTTAATAAAGCGCCCATGAACCCGGCTGGCAGAAAGGAGGAAGAAGGAAAAAGTTCACGATCTAGTAACAAATCAGAGCTCAAACTAATCCCGGACAAATCACCATCTGATGATGGCTTAAGAAAAGAAAGACGGTTGTCCAAAGCAAGTGATAGTTTTAAAGATACTCTTGAAAGGTACACTTTGTTTTTTCTTTCTATATAGTTTAATATCAATTTTTATCGAATAGAAAAAGAAAAGAGGTTGTCGTTCTTATATGAAGACAAAAGTTTCTTTATTTTTACTTGAATTTAAAATTAATCAGCCCTTAAATTGTTATGGATTATTTTGATTGGCATTTATAACCATAAACATCTTTCATATGCTTTACATCTTTCATTTGCTTGCTTTCATGGATGCTTGATTAATTTTAGTAGAAAAGTAATTAAATAATTGGTTTGTTTAATAATGAATTAAAACTGAATGATAGATATAAGAACAAAAGATTTTTGTTTATTAAGCTTCCTCAGGTGTAGTTACTTAGAAATATTGAATACCCTAGAGTATGCTTCCATAATGAAGAACACTAATTAATTTTATGAATGCAATAACTGTTATAAATGTAGAATGCATATATATTCTTTTTATTGTTCATGCAAAAAAAGGAAGTGTCAGGATATAACTTTCTATTTAATGAGCTAGAAAAAATATTTCTTTCTTTTTACAATTAACTTTAAATATAATAGTGGAAATCTTTTTATAATATGAATGCTAAATTCTTATAACTCTTAGAACGACTTAGAGTAAATAATTTGTACGCACATACTTGTTCAAACGAAAGATAAAAAACATTTCCTTAATCTACAATATTTACAGACAAGATTCAAAAGCATCGTCATTGAGCCCAAAGGTATCGCGAAAATATTTTCACAACTGGAACCTGTTTCCATGTGACAAAACTAAAGACAAAACAAAGGAGCTTCTGAAACGTTGGAGGACATTGCCTGAATCTGAAGTCGCTGGAAACCAGAAGCAACAAGAAGGAAGTGAAAACGATAAACATCACGGCTTGAGTGTTCATGTGTGGAGTAAATATTAGGTTTTATAAAGATTAAAATTGAATAGATATATGACTATCATAATTGAAGTAGAACATTTATATATTATCATTTTGAAGTAATAAGAAATAATTTGTATCTACTAAATTCTAGTTTTACGTTTAAATGTACCCATAACCTATTTATAAAATAGAATAATTCGGCTGCCTGCCTATTCTTATGTGGTTAATCATTGCAGTGGTGTTGTTTTTAGTCTTTTTTTGGATGAGAGATGATGTTGTATTGAACGAGTTCCGTGCAATGAAAACCCTAGTCGAATAAATTAATTAATTAATTAATTAATTAATTATAAATTGTGTAAGTTGATTGTTTGACGAATCTGTGAAATTTCAGAGGACGCTGTCTTTTTAAATCTTAAAATAAATTATGGGATTTTACGAGGTAAAAATATATGCTTGTCATGTTGAATAACGATTAATTAATAGATTTTCTGATAATAAACACGACATATTGAAATTAGTATTAGTAAAGGAAAACCTTTACTATATAAGGCACCAATATTACTGAACGATTTCAAAGAAATCAAAAACTACTCTATTGAATTAGTTTGGGCTTATATGTTTCTATAATAAAAATATTTGATATGGAACTTTCATAAAACTGTCTTGAAGATTTAGAGCAAAAAGTGGAGAAGATTTGACTAATTTTGTTTCTGAAACGATTCCAAACTTGTTGAACTACTTGTTTTCCCATGGACAGTTGACCTTAAAACAAAAGGTACCGCAGTGCGGAGCTACACCCTCGATATTTAAATATACCTTCCGTTCTGACGTCCGCTTTGATTGCTTGGAATAAATTTTATGAAAATTATTTCCTTAAGTCAATAATCGCTTAGAATAATACTCTTATATATTGTTCTTTAAAGGTGACAGCTTATAATTTAGAATTATATAAAAATGTATCGAGGTAAAACCGGCATGTTGTTATAATATTTACTTTTAACTATGTACGAGCAAGTGCAGTGTTGTTTTAGTTTCCCGTTGCTTCAATATTCATTTTAGTATTCCCTTTTGAGGGACAAAAAATAACAATGTATTCTAGCAGTCAAAAGCAAAAGTCTGTATATATTTCAGTTTTTACTCAAAGAGTAAAATAAATGTTTCGTAATTTCAGACATAGGGGATATTATTATGGTACTCTAATAGGATTAAAATGTAATTATTAAGCAATCGTTAGATAATTTATTTTATTTTCCAAACGTCTTATAAGTTGGACGCGCCTATTCTTCCAAATACGTGACAACGTCTACTAATTATTTTGTTTTACTTTACTAATGAGATGTAATAAAAACAAAACTGTGAAAATCTCACTAAAAATTGTTTATATTTTTTTAATGATTTCTTCCATATAGCAGATGTTTAAGAAAATTAGTTCTAGTCTGTACGGCTCAGATTGACATAAGTTATAGTTATTATTATTATTTGTAGGTAGAGTTTTCTATACTCAAATTTTAAGAGTACTTAAAAAACCCTTTCCTAAAGCATGAGTAATTTTTACACCGTTAAAGAATTTTTATTCAGTTCCAATTAACCCAGATAAGCCTGAAACTAAAATTTTCTAAAAATTTTGAAAAAAGTTACATTATTTAGTTTATTAGATCTTATGCAACATAAAAAAAAATATGAAAAAAAAATTAAGTGTAAGGCTTTCAGGGAAACAGCCGTCCTATATGTAGGACAGTAGGATAATAAGAGGAAATAAAAAACCATTTATGACAAAACAGAATGTAATCAAACAGTGTAGTTTATTAGATAACTATTGATTATATTACCCATTGTTATATGTAATTTACTAGATTAACACTATTTATGAATGATATGTTTCAAAACACTTGACACACACTCCAACATCACATTTCTTGCAACGTGTCAAACATTTTTTGTGACATTGACGACAGCGTGTTTGCTTCGATTGAGGAATAACCAGATGATTCATTTTGTCTTTACGACTATCAGTATGTTCATGATGGGAGGGTCGGCTAGGCCCTCTTTTTGCATTTTTTCTTATCCTTCTTATCCTTCCTTTTTTCTTATCCTTCTGCGAAAGCCAAGATAATCCAGTTTTCCATGATTTATTTTATATAACTGCCATGCATTATGTTCGGCAAGATCAATCATTTGTGTGAGCAACAGCGTGTACCATTTCTTCCCTCGTATACCAATTCGGTAATGTGAAATATTTTCATCAGACCGATCCACTCCTCCGATATATTTGTTATAGATGGACACCATATGTGGTTCTTCTATGACAATGTTTCTCTTTTCACTTTTGTGAGAAGCGTTTGGCAGATTGTTTAGGTTTTATTCCTACAGCATTAGAAGCAATACTGAATATATTATTGTCATGCCATTTAGCAATAATGAACGTGTTGTCATGTGTTGTTCTGTAATCGACAGCACCACGTTCCTTTTTTTCAGTAACTTCGATGTAAACAGAGGAGAACTAGATGTCCTGTTTTCTCGAACTGTCCCAGTGCAACGAAGGCCTTTCTTTGTTATCTCTTCCAGCAAGGGCGTCCCAGTAAAAAAATTATCAAAAACTACGTGGTAAGGAAGGTCGAAGCCTTGAACATCTGGCCAATTCACGGGATTTTTTGCCAAGTCCCGTTTTCTCCATGCGTAGGTACGCCTACGTTTAGTTCGACCTGTAGAATCAGAAGGTTCTTCTTCTGTATCTCACCATAATCTGCCCTTGAATCATTACTGCAGCCGGTTGAAGCAGAATGTTTCGTGGCAAATTATTCAAAGTTACATTATCTTCTTCACCCGAATCTTCGTCAGTTTGACAGTCAGGATCAACAGGAGGAGGTAGAATACATATCAGTCGTTCTCTATAATCTTCTTCATTATCAGAAACATTTTCTAAAGCATCTAAAATTTCATGCGCAGCTAACGGTCTGTAAAGAAAAAGTTGTATTATTGTACTAAAATCATGTATATTATCCTACTGTCCTATATATAGTACGCTAGTATTTGTAACAAGTTATACGTAATTTATTTATATTATTTTGCTACAATATTTATTTAGTACAAAAGTTAAGGTTATCAACTAGATATTAAAACAGAAAAAAACAACTCACGAGTAAAATATAACTTTTTATACATACCTGTCATTTGGCATGTCTGCAACGCACTTTTATTACACACTTATAAGGTAAAATATAAGGCAAAAACTGTTAAAATAACTGTCTTTTTATTTTTTCTAATAAAGCTGACACGTTTCTTACTGCAAATCATTAGACTAAATAATCTTAGATAAATAGGGAATTCTGATATTTTTTTTTATTTATACTGTCCTAAATATAGGACAGTAGGCTTATCTGGGTTAATAATATAATAAATATTTATTTAACAGCAACATGGGTAAATCGGTGCAGCGAGGATTTAGAATGTTTAGATCTAGAAGAAGGGCAGCCCTTAGCACGGCTGAGTTCTGTTCAATCGGACAAAATGACACTTTTCTTTACCGAGCTCCTGGACCATGACAGAGATGATGTCAATGTTATCAAGATTTTGATAATTTTTTCGAGGTTATTATTATGTGAATCATATTAATGAAGTTATTGTTATATTGCTTTTCATCAGACAATAATAAGAAAATATTTTAAAAAATTTCAAAAACTTTTACAACTTCGAATTTTTTAATAATTAAATTAGCATAGAGGCTAATTTATAGAAACTTGTTCACTTTGGTCGACAAATTCATCTGAGTTCCACATATTGTTAGAAGTGAAAAGAGAATTTATAGAACACTTTTTTATTCCAATGCCCACCAAGTAAGTAAACTTCTTTAATATTACTCTTCGCTTAGAAAACATTTATAATCAAACATCTGAAATACCAAAAATAATCCAACTCTAACCAATGGCATAACCCTCAAACTATCTAAGCCTCATCTGAATGAAAATTTATTATTTAAACCATAATTATTATAATTCATGCCTAACTATTAATAGATTTGCTGATCTGGCGTATTATAGAAGAGTTTGTGGACCCAAGGCCGTCGGCATTCCGGGTCGTACTACATACTTTAGAAGGCTGATTAGCAAGATGGGCGCAGCAGTTGAGTGAAATGAAGCAATTTGTACATCTACCATTGTATGTATCTACAGTACCTTTGCAAGATTCTTTTCCATGTGGTGGATAGAGAAAGTAAATATTACGACCTACATAGTAGTTTTAACCTTAACATTTTATTATTTACCAACGAACTCAAACAATACTTACTGATTTTAGTTTTATTATATGTATTAGAATATCTAAATAATTAGAGACAATCACGATTACTTATGCATGAAAGACGTAAGAAAATATTTGAATAAATAATAGTAAAGTCTGATGTTTCAATATGCAAACATTTTAAAGGTTTTCTATTTTATCATTATTCAAGTTTCTTGAAATACATAATTGAGTCATAAATTTAAATTAAGTTAAAGAAACGGGTTCCTTTATTTCTCAAAGGCTTTTTTAAATTTTTATATCCTTTAGAAAGAATGAGCGAGGAGGTGTCCTGTTTAATTATTCAAATATGGATGATTTGTTTAATTTTTGGAAACCCCTTTCTTTTTTAATTACATTTACGCTTTTTAAGTGTTTATCATTTTAATTTATTCATTTTAAGAGTTTCTCCTTATTAGTACATAAGCATGCAAAGCGTGAATATTTAAACTTAAGTTCGTGCACGGCTTGACACTGTTTATTAATATTATATTTAAGACTACATTGTGCTTAGGTAAAGTATCACATTATTCTTTGATATAAATAAGTACTTGCTAAATAAATTCGTGATAAAGTAGAATTTTATAATACCTTTTAAACAAGGTTATAGAACATTAAGAGGAAAACAGGAACTAATTTATTTTATGTCTGTTTCTAAAACGATAATGCTACAATGTCTAGACTTTTTAAATTCAAAAACTACATATTATGTTTATTTTAATAGCTTTTTTTTATTTTATTCTTCAATCAGGTACAGGCGAAATATCTAAAACAACTTTAGCCGCGTTATGCCGACCAGTTATCGGTCTGCCAGCAGCTAGAGTTGAAGAAATCATTGACACAGCGTATGCAAGAATGACAAGTGTAAGTTCTATATAACGATATATAGAAAGAATGTCTATAATATATTCAATAGCAATGATAAACTGAAATTTATGAATTCTCCAATATCCCGTGGCTATATATAAAAATTGTATGGGAAGTAATTTCAGAATTATTGCGATAATATTTTGGATTTTCGGTTTTAAATATGTTATATGTGTTATTTGATTTCAGAATAACTACCTATTACTCGACTATGGAACCTATGTCCACTGTTTCACTAATTGGTTGATGGGTAAGAACCCTAATGGTGCCGGACAGTGGGTCCTCGTTCCTCCTACAGATCCCTTATCGCAGCCGCCATTTCCAATTGACTACAGCGCTTTGAACACCGAACCAGCGAAACTAGAACCTTATGCCCCAGACAAAAAGACCAATAGGCATTGAGTTATCGTTTAATATTAGTAAATTGTATTTAACAATACGATAGTAATAATACTCATACAATTAATATATATGCAATCTCCAGTTGTAGGGTACTTGAAACTTGATCCAACGCTTTCTATAAAATTTTAAATTTCATTTACAAGCACGTGATATTTATATTACTTTAATTACAAAAGAGAAAAAATATAAAAGATTTCTATGTAATATAATGAGAGAAGGAAAAGTTTTTATGTTTCTTGTATATAGTTTCTAATAAAAATAATAAAACAAGCAATTATTGTTCTATTATACAATATATATCAAAATTATTAAAATGGGATCCCACTTCTATTCGGCTTGCATTTGTAAATAAAAATTGAAGGCTTTATTCTTACCTTGAGTATTTCGACCAATTACTAGAATAGAATATATAAGTAATAGGGAACTTCATGTATTGTAGGTAAATTATTGTAAAGCTAGAGGCTCTATTCTGTAACATTGAAAAATAGCTATGACTACTTAAAATCATATACAATATTTATTAGACTTGAAAGAGAACGGTTACAGAATAAAGCCTCTGTTGCACGATATGGTAAGCGAGAACTACCTTAGTGTAAGCGTCTTTACGTTTCACGATACAGCCTTATTTTGTACCTCAGATATAATCTAATAATAAGGTAATGTTCACTGATCCACTCGAATAAATGAAGTCCTTATTAAATGTCTTTCAATTAGAAACCGAAGTACTTGTAAAATGAAATGAGCCATAGGAAGAACATTTAGAAATAGGTGAAGACCTCATTGCCTCTGAAGTTTTAGCATAGGAATTTCTAGATAGGATGAAATATATTTTTATTGACCAAAATATGTTTCCATAGAAAATAAAGCAGACTAAAGCTAATATTGAAAAGAAATATCACTTACGGATGGCTTCAGAATTTAGCTATTTTTTTACACACACATGGAGTAGGCAAAGCCATAGTAGAAGTGCCATTTATTAATTTGGCTTGGTCAAGAAAACTTTATACATATCTGTCTTTCTTTTTGTTTACTATATAAGTCGAAAAGATAATCGTAGTCTCGGAAAGTAATTTTGCGTAAATTCAACAGAATAAAGAATATGAAATTTTTCTGGCACCTTAAATTAACAAAGTCTTTAGACTTTCAACCCAAAATTTAATAGAGGACCTAGCTGTACTTCTATAGCAAAAGAATTGATACGTTGCTAGACATCATAACATTATTATATATTTATTAAACGCTGTGTTTATTTAAATAACTAATATAAGTATATTAGAAATTAACTCGGAAAACATTTTTTTAGTCCCATGAAATAGGTATTAGGGTAAGGAAAAGCAGCCACGAAATTAATTGTCAAGTGTCCCACAAAGATTAGACCCAAAGTCTTACAAATTACTGGGAGTTATTTTTTCTGTTTGATCTAAAAACATTAAATAATTAATAATAGCATTCAATTCTAACGTAATAAAAGTCAATCAGATAGAGTTTTTTGATCATACAGCTTAGAATATTCATGCGAGTAAATCAAAATTCAAAGATTTTATAGAACGCCGCAATGCAGCACGAACATACTCGTATAATCAATTTCTATATCCCTTTCAACATTAAGAGAACCATTCATTGCTCGAAAGAATTGGAAAGGACACTTTGATCGAGGACTCTCATAGATTATGAAACATTTATTTTTATTTTCATGTTATATTAACATTATTAGGTATCTACGTAATATCAAATTACTTCAAAGGGATGAAATTTTAACTACTTAATGTTAAACAATACAATAAAATGTCACCTGTTGTAATTGTCTGTTAATTATAATGGCAATATGTAGCAACGAAAAAGGCACACTTTCCTATCTTGATATTTAAACAGTGCCAGGACGAAAATATTTTGTAAATATTAATACAAATTTCAGTAATTTCAAACGATTCAAAATGTTTCACTAGTTTTTAAATTTCATTTTACACATGATAATCAAGTAGATGTCAATAATAACTTTAAAAAGAATATAAAAAAACAGTGTTAATATTTTTTAAGTATAATAATTGAAAGCTATTTTTTATATAGTCGATTGAAACAGCATTACAAGCGACCACTTTAAGTTAAATAACCTGATATACGAGTACAAGTGACCTGGCCTCACAGTTTACTTTGTTCGTTAATACAAAGCAGGAATACCAGTAAAAGTAGAATAACTTTTATACATAGTTCCCATTTTAACAGTAAAGTTTATGTTTTCCTCTGGTATATTAGACATATTTGATTAAAAACTTAATGCTATGACTTTTCTAAAATTTATGTTCTATTTATTATATATAAAAGAACATATGTTCACTTTCACTTTTGACACTTAAAATAATGTGAACACGGCATACTTAATCACTTGACATATATCACTGAATGGATTATAATATTGGATTGGGTCCAATTTATATATGTAAAAATCAAATGGAAGACAATTTATGTGTAAATTTTAATTAAAAAAACATGTTTTAAATAAAAATCAAAGATGTGTTTTTAAACTTGAAGATTAGTTTATCACTTTTATTAATAAGTGATCGGTAAACTTCTTAGTTCAATTTCATTAAACGAGTTTGGTGTCTGTTCACCATAGAAGTTAAATTTAAATTACAAAAAATTCACGACCAACTATTGAATGAAGATAAAAATATATGTATGAAAATATAATGTTTTAACGACGTACCACATAGCTATATAATAAAGTCTGACTCGGTTCAGTGCTAGTAGTATTTTTAAACGTTATTCTTGGAATTTATATAGCTTGTTACTTGAGGAATTTGGTGGGACATTTTGTAATAACTTCTGGCCAAAAACTCGTTTCTAAACAATTTTTGTTTTATCCTTTTTGAATTAACTATCTTTGATATAGATAATAATAATGTGTATGTGGGTATGTATGTATGTATGTATGTATGTATGTATGTATGTATGAATTTGTGTATGTATATATGATAATTATTATTATCCCTACTAATATTATAAATGCGAAAGTAACTCTGTCTGTCTGTCTGTCTGTCTGTCTGCTACGCTTTCACGCCTAAACCACTGAACTGATTTTAATGAAATTCGGTACAGAGATAGAGTTGACCTTGAGAAAGAACATAGGATAGTTTTTATCCCAGACTTTTGAAAGGTTCTCTTGGAAACGCGATATAACCGAACTCCACGCGGCGAAGCTGCGGGCGGAAAGCTAGTTGAATATAAATTGTACGATTTACGATAAATTTGACACCACCCTTCTCTCAAATCACGACTGTGTTCCTAAGCCCATAAGGTTGTCTGGTAGATATCGCTACCTAGCGATAAGACCGCCTTATTGTGCAACATAATTAATATTTTATTTATATTTCATTGTTAAATTTCTATGCTATTGTGGTGTACAATAAAGTATATATTATAATTATTATAATATCAAATTCAGAACACTTTGATACCTCATATCTGTAAGGAATATCAAATATAATACTAATCGAATATTTAGGCACTTTAAACATTTTAAATTTTTACTATGGTAAAATTCATGTTACCGAAGAGCTATTACTACTCACACCTGAATTATGGAGTTGGGTTTTGTCATAAAACATATAGAAATATTTATAACCTTGAAGTCGCCAGGGACGCATTGATGTATTCTATCACTATTTGTTTTATTTATACCAAGATTTGGTCTCGAGTGTTGACAATTTCAAAAACCAATAGTATTTGACACTCTTCCAAAATTTTACTTTCTTTGGACATTGATTGTTATGAGAAACGTAATACAACTCTTTTAGGCCCCTAGAGATAAGTTAAAGTCACATTAATAAAGTTTCAATTATCAATATTGATCACAATGTGGTAATTATGTAAAATGTGACTAAAAGTTCTTTTTTAAGTTTTTAAAAACTATTGGTTAAAGTATGGAGGTGTTATATACATACAGAAAGAAATGCATAACTTTACTTACAACATGTAACATACATATTTATAATATGATCACTCCTTGGCAATGTGTGTAATGTATACCGTATATGTGTTTATTATATTGAAATATATTATTCAATACGTTCTACTATTAAAGTAAATAATATGAAAGTCACTTAACATCCTGGCACCAATGATTTAATGGATACAACATCGATTTCAATTACACGATGGATTTTGTTAATGCAAGACACAAAGTGTATTCTATATAAGTTATATGATATTCATTTAAAAAAATTAAGTTACAATTACATATACCTAATTAAAAATTAAATTAATGTATTTAATCACAATTTCTACATAGACAACTATTTTAAAATAAAACGTTGTCAAAGTTACATTGAAGTTAAAGTATTTACATCATTATCGAATTATCATCGTATACCGCTGGCTCGACACCTAGACTTTTTTCCAGGCCAATATTCCAAAGAATCAAAATACTGCTCTCTGTATCGTCTTTCCAATAATTGGAATAATTAAGCGTTGTTGTAATAAGAAGTAGGCTTTGCCGGTATCATTAATATAAAGATACTCGTATTTATATTAAGTTCAGTCTGTGCGAGGTAGTCTAAATGATTGGTTCTCTAATACAGAAGCCAGTATATTTATCTAAAATCTATTTTTAAAAAACCCTTCACCGTACATAGAACTTGACTATTGTCTCCATGGAATATTGTTTGTTTTCTATGTCTGATAAATACTTACTATTCTGGTTTCTGATACACAACAATCACCATGGTTTCGCTACCAGGAGTCTGCAGCGTCACAAGTATTAACTTGTGCAATTACGCTACTTTATCCTTACAATAGTTCTGTTACGATAATATTTTCAATTCTCAATATACGTTTCAAACACACACAAAATAATATACTTGTACGTGGTTAATGACAAAATAGATGATAGAAAATCATTTTTTCACGACCATATATACCTTTCTAGTTTTAGATTTCAACTTCGGTAGTGTGTTAAGAAAGACATAAAAAAATATAGTTAATACACGTATAATATTCATGTT